CCGCTCGGGTAGGTCCCAGAGCCGGGCGCTGCGTGGGGGGGGAGGAGGAAACCTCCGAAGAACCTTTCTGTGTTTTCAGGGCGGTGGGTTTACCCGAGTTTAACCTGACCGCCTGCCCCTCAGGTCCTGCCCTCCGCTTCCCGGTGGCTGTGGTGGATGGTATCCTGAAGGATGTGCTGGAGAGTCACCTGAGGGAGCAGAACTACGAGCCAGCGCGGTGCAGGGACATGGCGAAGGACATCGCTGAGGTACCGCTGCGTGTGAGGCACGAGGCGGCCATTTTATCCTCACGCCTCGACGGCCTGTCAGGGAGGCGGCTGGCAGGGTGCAGGGTGGGGAGGTCCCCACATATAAATATAAATATAAATTCTAAAACAAATGCTGAAGGAGGCATTCAAGATGCACCAAGGGTTGCTCTGAGACACGTCCCTCTGTCCCCCAGGGCGTGGGGACTTACAGCAACGCGCTGCTGTGGCTTGAAGGGAGACAGCATCTGAGACGGGCAGGATTTTACAGGTTAATGATGAGATTTGTTGGAGCAGTGGTGGCTCTGGCTGAACCCACAGTTCAGTTAAAAACTCCATGTTGTAGTTGTCTTGTCCAGAAATGCCATTAATAAGTTTTAACTGTATATCTATCAGACCTTTCTGAAATAGGCCACTTATGGTAGTGGCTGGATTCTGCACAGTGACATGTGTGCAAGCACCTCGTCAGTTAAATCAAATCCTGCTGCTGGGAAAAGCCTGTCCTGACCTTTTAGTCTTTCAGCTGATTTAGCCCAGAAATGCTCCATGGCATTAAAAAAGCAGTACTATCTCCTCTTCCTTTCCCCCGCCTGTAATCAGCAGGTAACTGAACACATATGGAGGAGAATATGGTATTCACATATTCTTAACTTAACATTTCCACTTGCATTTCAGTAGTCCAGCAGGAAGATGTGCCTATTTTTAGCAGATAGAAGTGTCAGTTCTTTTGTGAAATGACCATAGCAGCATATGTGCCACCTGTGCACAGGGCTGGGGGAGTTTGCAGTAGATGTTTCAAATGCTGCATTTCAAAGATCATTGTTGATCAGATCGACTGAGAGAGTTGGGGCTGTTCAGCCTGGAGAAGAGAAGGCTCCAGGGAGATCTTATAACGGCCTCCCAGTACCTGAAGGGGCTACAAGAAAGCTGGGGAGGGACTTTTCATAAGGGCAGTTAATGACAAAACAAGGGGAAATGGGTTTAAGCTGAAAGAGAGGAGGTTTAGATGAGATATTAGGAAGAAGTTCTTCACTGTGAGGGTGGTCAGACACTGGAACAGGTTGCCCAAGGAAGTTGTAGATGCCCCCTCCCTGGAAGTGTTCTCGGCCAGGTTGGATGAGGCTTTGAGCAACTTGGTCTAGTGGAAGGTGTCCCTGCTGCTGGCAGGGGGGTTGGAACTGGATGAGCTTTCAGGTCCCTTCCAATCCTAACCATTCCATGATTGTCAGAATTGCTGCCAGGGGTCAGTACTGCAATGCTTGCAGTTGTCTATCCCCAAAAAAACCCAAATCCCTGAGCATCCCCTGTAAGGAGAGCTCATCACTTGTGTCTAAATGTCTTTTTCTCTTGTAGGTTATCAAAGCTCGGGTGAAAGACCTTATGATACCGAGGTACAAGCTTGTTGTGGTGGCACATATTGGGCAGCTGAATGAGCAGAGCATGCAGATCGGAAGCAGGTGCCTGTGGGATTCTGTGAGCGATACGTTTTCGTCGTATGTGTTCAAAAACACTTCACTGTTTGCTCTTGCAAATGTCTATGCTGTCTATTTTGAATAAGGAGGTAGTTGAGTTTAACAGCAGGAGAAATGAACATTCAGCCTAACTTTCCCCATTTCTGTTGTTGAAAACGGTTGTGAAGGACTAAGGCAACTTTCAGTCATTTTGAAATGTGGTTACTTAAGCCTTTCAACAGTGAATATAATAATTGTATTTCCCAGAGCTTTCTCTCTGGGAAGTGATTCTCTGTGAAATGCTGTTTTGCACCTGATTCTGGCTGCTTTCAGAACCAGGCATCCCTGTAATACTTCTTTCTCCCTGAATTTGCCTTCACAACATGATCCCCAGGTAGAAACCATAGAGGGATTTTTGGAAAGTCAGACAAAACCATTTAAAAACTATCTCTGTTAAATGGCAGTTGCAGGTCGTTAGCGTGTGCCAGGCCCCGTGCACATGCTGTGTTGCAGATGCTGTGTCCCTTCAAGCTGCAGTAGCTCGGTGCTTCAAGTCCCCCTGCCCTGGGGGACAGAGGGACCCTCCAAACCTTCCTGCCAGGCCCAGAGATGCCCTGGGTGGGCTCTGCGGTGCAAGAGCAACAGAGAGCAAGAGAATCAGGAGCTTTGCTCTTCCTGCCTGGCTGCTCTGGAGCCCCAAGAAAAGCCCTGAGAGCAGAGAAGGTGGCCCAGAGAATGTGGTTACTTCTGCATGGAGAATCACAGAATCATAGAACAGTTTGGGTTGGAAGGGACCTTAAAGCTCATCCAGTCCCAACCCCCCTGCCAGCAGCAGGGACACCTTCCACTAGACCAGGTTGCTCAAAGCCTCATCCAGCCTGGCCTTCAACACTTCCAGGGAGGGGGCATCCACAACTTCTTTGGGCAACCTGTTCCAGTGTCTGACCACCCTCACAGTGAAGAACTTCTTCCTAATATCTAATCTAAACCTCCCCTCTTTCAGCTTAAACCCATTTCCCCTTGTTTTGTCATTAACTGCCCTTATGAAAAGTCCTTCCCCAGCTTTCTTGTAGGCCCCTTCAGGTATTGGAGGGCTGCTATAAGATCTCCCCAGAGAAGACAAGCTCTGTCCCATAGTACTTGAAATCAAGTGAAAAATGTATTCAGATTCTATCATGTTTAGAGTATTTGGATCTAACATGTCTGGGCCTTTCTATTGAAGGTGCTAGAATATAGCAAAAAAAAAAAGGAATTTGGGTTCTCAGCTGATAACCTGCCTTTAGAGAAGGGGGAAGTACAGCCTATGAGCTCAGAAGTGTATTTCTAGTCTCCCTGGGTGCAAATTAACTGTCCACTAGGTAGGACCTCAGGTAGATGTTACTGGAAGCAGCTGGAACAGGAGATGAACCGTGGCTGCTGCCTGCTGGGTGTGGTGGGGTCTGGCTCAGCCGTGCCGCACTGCGCAGAGCTCTCTGCACGGCTGTGGTGTGATTCTGAAGGCAGACTCATTACTACCCCTGAAACCTGCTGTTGGATTTTCCTAAGAGAACAAGCATATAATAAATTGCTTATTGTATTACATTTTATGTGCAAAGCTGAAACTAGAACAATAGTTAGATGGGAAGAAATAGTTGTACTCATGACTAAAAGTTTAACTCTAAACCACTGTAAACACTTTGTGGAATCCAGACAACCCAACCTGAGCTGTGGCTGCAGCTCTTTGCTGGTTTGCACGACATTTAACCTGCAGCCTTTACTCCCTAGTGTACCCCAAAGAATAAAGCTGCAATTAAAGAAGACAACTGAAATAATTGTGGTTTATGTCATGATTATTTTAATCCGTCAAGGCTGTGACATTGAACCTCGCCAGCATCTGCCATGTTTTAGCACAGGGAACTGATCTCTCTCTCGCTGCAGCCGATGCTGCAGCAGGATGTGGTCAGCAGCTTGGCTGCTTCGCGCTTTTCTAGCGTGGATGTTTTCCTGGTGCGTTGCAAGTCTCGCTCTGTCTCAGGCTGGACGTGGATTTCTTGGCTGTCAGTCTCCAGCCTCTGGTCTGTGTACATCGAGGAGTCGGCATAATCGTTGTTCTCTTGTGGGAAAGGCAGCGGGTTGTCACTCTCTGTCACATAAAAGTTAGAAGATAAAAATTAGAAGTCACGGAATCATGAGTTGTTTATAATATTTCTCTTACTAGAAAGACAGAGCAGCCTGCAGCCAGGGAGCTGAAAATACTACCCTCTGTCTTTCTGATGTGAACAACCACGATGTGCCAGATCACTGACTTCCATGTGCCAGATCACTGACTTCTCACCGGGGTAGTATTAAAGTAGATATGTGAGGTAAACACTCTGTGATTAACGTGTTAAAAACCCCGTAATTCATGGATTTATCCTGAAGAGTGCTCTTTGTAGGAGTAGTTGCCTTATCAGTCTGACACTGATGGATTTGCTTCGAAGGGTAAACCCGTGATGTGATATGTCAGTGGCACTTGACCAGCATGTGAACCTGGAGCTGCCTGTGGGTTTCCTGAAATGCAGATATTACGTTAAGGCATCAGCTACCCCACAATTTAAAAGTTTCTGGATGTTCCTGTTTAAATTATGCTTGAGATTCATTTGCATTTTGAATAGCCAAGTGGGCACTGCCTGGTGGAGTTTGCAAAGATACAGGAGTTATACTGCTTAGTTCAGCAGAGGGGTTTCCTCTCCTGTAACAGACTCTCAGGCAGGGTAATGCAGGTGGCATCGCTTTTTATCTTTGATTAAAGCTGCTGCTACAGTAGAATTTTCAAAAAAGGCAGATGTTACATATTCCCATGTGCATGGGAAGTGTAGAAAGCTTCTCTTCCTGTCACCTGCCTCATTTATTTTCTTTTCTCTAGTTATTTTAACCTATCAGAGTACAAATTTCTAGCAGTGCAGGTAATGGCTGAATTTTCTGACTGTCTAAAAATGTGCTGATAAATATAAATATATACAACACAAGGTGAAGATACTTAAATTGCAGAGTATATAATCAACACACTTTAATTAGAATATTCTTAAGTTATACTATTCTGGTTTCTAGTGGGGAAGGTGGTGTGTCCTACTGAGGACAATGTTGGCACTGACTGCAGCCAGGCTTGTCTCTGACATTTCAAATGTCACGGCATGGAGATTTTCAGTGTTAGCCTGGGGCTTAACTCGTGGTTCCTCAGGCTGATTGGGAAAATCTTGATCTAAATGTTTTCTATTTAGCAAAAAAGAGCACACTAATGCATTAATTAGTACTTACCAAACAGGTAGTGATAATCACTCAAATGCCTTCTCCACCGAGAGCCGCCGCAGGTGAAGACGACGGCTCTGACGAAGTCTCTCCCGCAGAGCTTCACGGTGTTTCCTTCACCTCTCACTTCACCTGTGGTGATCAGGAGGGAGAGCAAAGCCAGTGCCAGCACCGAGCCCCTCATGCTGCCCACGCCCAGCTTCCAGGCTGGCTGTGAAGGGATCTGTGGGTCCAGGGTGAGGAGTCGTGCTGAAATCCTCACATTTATACTGAGGGCCCCTCCGCTCCACTGAGTACGGCTCATTCTGAGGATGACTTAATGTTTGCTAAAAACCGAGTTAATCACTTGTTTCCGGTAATGTTTTAAGTGCTTTGGGATTTGTGCTGGGATTTCGGGCAGGTGGTTAAAGACTTCTTAAGGCCACGTAACTGCTTTACTATAGGAGCACATGTAGTCTAACATGTTTATAGGGTACGGGCTTAGATCAATACCATTAGTGTGTATGTTCTGCAGAAATGAAAGGGTGTTTACTACGTGATTTGTAGGTAATGGGTTTTGTCTCTGTGTGTTCCCCACACTGCTGTTGCCCAGTTGTGCCTGTTACCACAGTTTGAGCAATGTGGGGTCTTTTTCTGTTAATGATCCTAAACTAAAAGGCAGTTAACAACTTCTGGTCTCAACATATGTTGTGTATCTCTTTGTTACCCCTGCTCCCTTCTCTTGCCAAGTGTCCCCTTGCCAAGCTGGCAGCTGTGGATGCTCCAGAGGAATTTCCTGGTGCTGGGTAGGACAAAATTACGTACCAAGGGGTTTTTGTAGCAAATGCAGGCATCCAAGTCTGCAAACATTCCTACGTGATAGGATGTGATCCTGCGGCACGCGGAGCGTTTGAGCACGGTGAACTCGCGGTAACACAATGGACAGAGCAGTGCAGGTGTTTCAACATTGGGGAAAACATCATCAGGTTTAATAAGCTAATGTATGCAGAAGTTCATGTGAGGAAGTTTGGGGACAGATCATGCAACTTCGGAGCACTGGAAGTGGCCTCAAGTTGCCCCAGGGGAGGTTCAGATTGGATCTGAGGAAAAACTTCTTCACCCCAAGGGCAGTCAGGCATTGGAACAGGCTGCCCAGGGAGGGTGTGGAGTCTCCTTCTCTGGAGACATTCAAGACCCGCCTGGACGCCTTCCTGTGTGATCTCATTGAGGTTCCTGCTCTGGCAGGGGGGTTGGACTGGATGATCTTTTGAGGTCCCTTCCAATCCCTGACACTCTGTGATTCTGTGTGTGAGTTGCTGGACAGCCTGTGTCCGTAGGCATCGCCCTGCGGATACCTGGATGCAGTGGAGTAGCTCCCCTGCAGCTGCACAGCTCACGTTTGTCTACAGTGAGGCTTGTGGACGTGGCCCTTGGCCAAAAAGGCCCAGAAAAGAGAGGGACAGGCTCTAAACAAAGCACTGAATAGCTGCAGAGCAGCATCCTGGCCGTCCCTGTCCTTTTGGTGATACCTGGAGGACAGAAGCGTGTTCTGAAGCAGCGTGGAGCGGTGTTACTGCGCTGGGGAACCAGAGGTCAGTACATTGGTGATGGTGCCATGGGCGTTGTTGGCTGCTGTGAGCTTCTATAAAAAAAATATCTTGCAATAAAATGCCTTAAGGAGAAGATTGTCAATTATGAGGTCAGAAATTCCATGTTTAAGAACAAAATACTTTGGAGATCTTTAGCACTTCCTAGCACCACAAGTGTTTTCCAGCACCATAATGCTCCGGTTAATTAGTTTACACGATGTGCAGGGTGAATTACTATGTGTTACAGCCTTGACAGGAGCTCATTTTTTTTTACCAGTAGCACCAGTGAGTAAACAATCATGACCACCAATGGAAAATACAGGGTGTATTTTGCTCAGATTTGTAATAATGATTAACACATGATTCACCTTAATGGCTGAAATGCACAAAGATTAATTTTCTGTCAAGGGTAAGCTCGCATGTTCACTGTAAAACGTGCAGAAGACAGAAGGGTGTGGATGTTAATGCATCACAAATGATCTTTTTAACTTCAGTGATGTGTTTAAATGTTGGATGTTTATTGTCAGGCTAATGAGAGAGTCTGAATGTTCTGTATCTATCAAATACACGTCTCGCTCCGTGGTGCTTGCAGGAGCAGACAGCTATTGCCTCTGCCAGCGTGCAGGCAGGGCTCCGGTGACCACCCGTCAGGCAATGAGGCTGATGTTCTTAATTACTTAAATGTTCTGAGGCTCCATCTTCTTAATTACTCATCTGTAGACACTCATTATATTCTCTGAGCAGTCAGTCTCTGAAAATCCTCTAAGATTGGTGGGTCGCTGGGTGATTTTTTTTCTGTTTCTTCTGATCTGCCCCAAAAAGCCACCCCAGACAGCCCAACGCTGCCCGCATCCAGCCAGCAACGCAGGCCAGAGCGAGCGTTCCCAACAGCTTTCAGCTCTCCAGATGCTGGGGGTGGGCTGGGGAGGTGATGAGATCTCACAAACCCACAGCTCTGGCTTCCAGAGCTGCAGAAGTCGGTCCTTGCTCCAGGAGCACAGCGTTACCTCGTGTGAGGGGCTTCCAGGGAAGTGTCGGTGTGGAGCAGAGTGAATTGAAACGGCAATTTTACATGATCCTAACTTGTCTGGAGTTGAAGAAGTCAGTCTCTGACCTGGTGTGGAGCAATCTGCAGCTCACAGGAGCACCTGATGGCATTCAAAGCTCACAGTGGTTTATGGGATGGCTGACAAGATGGATCTAAAGAAAAGTCCATTCATCTGCTGTATGATTTCAGAGGGAAGGTGCCGGCTACATCTGGTAAGGCCTTGGGCTGCGTTGTGGAGTGGCCTCTACAGGGGGTGATTCTGGCATTTCTGCTTTTGTCCAGAATCACAGAATCGTAGTGGTTGGAAAAGACCTTTGAGATCATCGAGTCCAACCATGAACCCAACACTGCCAATCCCACCTCTAACCCATGTCCCTGAGCACCTCGTCTGCCCGTCTGTTCAATCCCACCAGGGAAGGTGACTCCACCACCTCCCTGGGCAGCCTGTTCCAATGCCTGACTGCCCTTGGGGTGAAGGAGTTTTTCCTCAGATCCAATCTGAACCTCCCCTGGGGCAACTGGAGCCCATTTCCTCTTGTCCTGTCCCTTGGGCCTTGGTTGAACAGACCCACCCCCACCTCTCTCCACCCTCCTCCAAGGGACTTGCACAGAGCCACAAGGTCTCCCCTCAGCCTCCTTTTCTCCAGGCTCAACACCCCCAGTTCCCTCAGCCACAAGGGAACTCAGCACACTTGTGCTCCAGACCCTTCCCCAGCTCTGTTGCCCTTCTTGTAACCCTTCGAGTAACCCTTTGCCCTTTGAGTAACCCAAGGAGAAAAGATCTGGGAGGAAAAAAATAAGGAGAAAAAACCCAAGGAGAAAAGAGGATGGAGACCTTTGTGTTATCTCATCTGTTTATCTAATGAAGGGGACTTCCAGGGGAAAATTTAGAGCATTTGAAAGAAGTTTCTAACCAGTCTGGTTTCAAAGAGACATTTTAATGACTGAAAAAGAATAAATGGTTTGTGTTAATATTACAATCAGTCTTTCTGCTGTTCACGGGCTGAGAGGTGGGATCGTTTAGCTACTGTTAAATAGCTCCAGCAGGACCCATTATGTCATGTAAGAGATCAGCCTGTAAAAGAAGAGGAAAGAAAGAGCTGCATGACAGTGTAAGTGCAGTGCAGGACATGCAGTGATCCTAAATTCCTCTTTATGAACTGAGAGCAGAACTGGTGCAGTGAGCATCCAGCAAGCAGGCTGAGGTGGTTTCTGTTATGTCAGCTGGTTCTTCCTCAGAGTTCTGGTAAAACTGTGCTCACCTCTAGCAATGCTCCTTCAAAATAGCGCTTTTTGGCAGGCCTGTTGGGCTGCATTTGTAGCATCGTACTTGGCAGCACACAGATAGATACCTGCCCCTCTGCTCCGCTCTCCTGAGACCCCACCTGCAGTGCTGCCTCCAGTGCTGGGGCCACCAACAGCACAAGGACATGGACCTACTGGAGCCAGTGCAGAGGAGGCCACGAGGATGATGCGAGGGCTGGAGCAGCTCTGCTGTGAGGACAGGCTGAGAGAGTTGGGGCTGTTCAACCTGGAGAAGAGAAGGCTCCGGGGAGATCTTATAGCGGCCTCCCAGTACCTGAAGGGGCTCCAGGAAGGCTGAGGAGGGACTTTGGCCAAGGGCAGGGAGTGACAGAACAAGGGGTGATGGCTTGAAAGTGGCAGAGGGGAGATGGAGATGAGATGGGAGGAAGAAATTGTTTGGTGTGAGGGTGGTGAGACAGTGTCCCAGGTTGGCCAGAGAAGTTGTGGCTGCTCCTCCCTGGAAGTGTTGAAGGCCAGGTTGGATGAGGCTTTGAGCAACCTGGTCTAGTGGAAGGTGTCCCTGCTGCTGGCAGGGGGGTTGGCACTGGTTGCGCTTTAAGGGCCCTTCCCACCCAAACCAGGCTGGGATTCTGTTATATTTATAAAGGAAATTCATTTTTGAGATGGCACACGTGGGGCAGCTGTAGATGTGATTGTCCCTGAGGTCATTGTCTCCCTTCAGCGTTGGGACCCTGCTGTGCTCAGCCCTGTACACACCTCAGCCGAGGAGGACTTTGCTTTTATCAGAAGGGAGTGGGAGAAAAGGACGATGCTGGAGAGCGGGGCTCCCTCTGGCTAATGAGGCTCTGTGACTCAGTGGCCACTTACACCACATGCCCAAAGTCTGTGAAATTAAGCAGAGATATTTTTATTCCTGTTCTGGTGTCATACCCAGAAAATTACCCTTGTACTTTTTATTAACTGAAGAACTTCTCTGCTTAGAGGACTTGGGCTGCTTCATGGTGATTTGTAGGAAAAAAAACCCCAAAACAACCCACTAATTTTGTTTTCTAAGTTTAACAACAACGCCCTCACTTCCAGTTTTTAAGGGAAATATATTTTTGCTCTGTGGTTTACAGCACTTGGCAAATGAGGCTGGTCATTACCTGAATTTCTAGATGCAATGCTGACAACTGTGAATTATTAATGGTTTAATATCCTAAGAGTGAAGGTTTGATTAACATCCACATTTTCTTTGTCTCCAAATTAAGTTTAGTGTTTTACAGTGTATAACTCAGAAGGATTTTTAAAAGCACCAGTCCCACTTTACAAATAGGGAACCCGAGGCCAGTAAGCCAAAGCTCAAAGGCCAAGGGGAGCAGTGTGGTTCAGGGCTGCAGGCCACCTGCAAGTAGATCCTGGAGGAGGGATCCACCCAGTGCTGGAGTACCCAAGGTGGCATCTGGGTTGTACCATGGACCAGGTAAGGAGGGCCCGGTGAGGCTTTGGGATGAATTAGCCCTGATGGATGCAAAAGTGGACAGAAGGGATTCACAGATGACATGGCTTTGACACTGCTGCTGACACGAGATCTATGCAGTGGTACGGTTGGGAGGGAACCCAGTTGTAAGGCAAGTCAAATTCTCACGTCATCTAGGACAGGAAAGCCCTCACTGGAGTAAGCAGTGGCTTCTGAAGAGTGATGCGATGGGCTGGTGGGTTTTCTGGCACCAAAGAAGTGAGACTATCTTGTTGGTGGCCAGGAGAGGGCATGTCACTCCTGCCTTGGCAGCAGGTAAAGGCATTCTGCCAAATCCAGACACCTGCAGGCTGCGTTTAGAGGAAGCTCCACCTTCCTGCCCTTGCCCCAAGTGTCCCTCCCAAATCCAGCTGTGGGGAGCCTCTGGATTTGTGATCAAGTAAAAGCTCAAGTTTAACGTTGACTTACCTGTTCCTGAAGTTTCATAGAATCCCAGAATTATAGTGGTCGGAAAAGACCTTTAAGATCACAAAGTCCAACCATAAACCCAACACTGCCAATCCCACCTCTAACCCATGTCCCTCAGCACTGTGTCTACACGACTCTTCAATCCCTCCAGGGATGGGGACTCCACCACTGCCCTGGGCAACCCCTTCCAATGCCTCAGAACCCTTTCAGCAAAGAAATTCTTCCTCACATCCCATCTCAACTGCCCTGGCCACAACTGGAGCCCATTTCCTCTTGTCCTGTCCCTGGGTCCTTGGTTGAACAGACCCACCCCCACCTCTCTCCACCCTCCTCCAAGGGACTTGCACAGAGCCACAAGGTCTCCCCTCAGCCTCCTTTTCTCCAGGCTCAACCCCCCCAGTTCCCTCAGCCACAAGGGAACTCAGCACACTTGTGCTCCAGACCCTTCCCCAGCTCCGTTCCCTTCTCTGGACACGCTCCAGCACCTCTGTGTCTTTCCTGCAGTCAGGGGCCCATGTTTCTAGTGGTGTGGGATTCAGAAGATGTAGGAACCACCTGTGGCTTTAATCTGCTTATGGAATTGCACCTGATTCCACTGATTTCAATATTTATTAGCTAGATCTTTACCAGAACACCCTTTCTGAGGAATGAAGCACCAGACAAACATGCGGGGCTCTCTGCACCACCACCTTCTCCTATCGAATCGTACCTTAATGCTGCTGGGAGCAGCCAGGTTCCGCAGCTCAAACACTCCGACTTCTCCTTTGCTGTTCCCCACGAGAAGGCAGTCGGTGTTCCTGGCGAAGAGCACGGATGTGAATTTCACCCCTGGGTCGGCAAAGCAAGAGATCACGGGGTTCAAGCTGCAACCCAGCAGAGACAAGAATTAATGGGTAACGTCACGTCTGCCTGAGTGTCCTCTCAGGTCAGTTCAGGCCTGGTCAGTGTTGTGTGTTTTACTTTTTGTGCTCTAGATTAACTCAAAAACTAAGAAGTGAGGGAGTGTTCTGTTTGGTCTCAACCAGAACAAAAATCCCAGCTGCTATTAACTACCCTCGTTGCCTAAAAGTTCTCCTGTTGCCTAATATCAGGGATGATCATGGTGGTTTCTATTTCTATTACATGAATAATTTGCTTTTTGCTGCTATAAGATTTGGGAGCTTCCTGCTGTCATTTATACTAAATAGTCCAGCCCAGCAGTACGAGGCCACAGGTTAATTAACTGCACGAGATGTGCATCTACTGTACAGGAGTGGGAAAATGGGAGAGTTACCAGAACTTCTGACCATCTTATCTTTAGAAAAAGTCCAAAATAACTCAGTTTTGGTATTTTTCCTTTTACCTATGTCAGTGGTAGAATCTGTGATTTCTGTAGCCAAAAAAAAAGCAGTTTTACCCTTTATCAGTTCCAGGAAGCATCCAGCTCCTTCTGTTATCATCACAGTTCTCTGGTAACTACCATCTGCTTTTACAAAATGAGTATTTCCAGATGCAGTGCTTTCAATAAGTAAGCAAACAAGTGTCATGGAGCTGTCACGATCTGATAACAATACTGATGAGGCAATAATATGCAGCTTTTGTGCCATTAAATTTCAGAATCTTCTTTGTGAAAAGTCATTACTTACATGCTGACACTGAGATCCCAAATTTCTACTTGGCTTTCATTGGCTGCTGCAAAGATGAAGGGTGATTTTGGAGACCACATAATGTCATGAACAAAAGCAGCAGTGGAACTGAAAGTTAAAGCGGGTGTCTGGGAATCCTGGTGCCATAAAATAATGCTCCAGTCTGCAGAGCAGCTGAGGAACATGTCGGTGCTGAATGGATTCCAAGCGACTTTGTAGACAGGACCCTTGGTGTTTGGGAAGAGACAAAAAAGAGCTTTGTATTATTGTGTTATTCTAGAGCTACAGCCTCACGGGATGGTTTTTAATAGTGACCTTTCATGGAAATCCCTGACTGTCCTCTGACTTTAACAGCAAAACCAGCATTGTGTTATGTGTACCCATAAGAATCGGGTGCAGCAGATGTGATAAGACAGGAGAGGTTTTAGGAATAAAAAGCATTCAGCTGATTCTGTCCCTTCACCAGTTGTTAGGAGAAGCTGATGCTGATGGGGCAGCTTCTTGGATGAAGCAGAGACTTTCAAAAAAAGAGGTGCTGTTAAAGTTCTGCCATCCTTCTCTCAGAGGTAAGACTATTTAATTGTGGTTTGCAAGACAATCAGTACTTCAATTTCTTAAATAAAGCCAGAACTAAAGCTTTAAAACACTTTATAGTAGCAGTTTTAATAAATTACTTAAAAACCCCCATCCTTATAGTGTTGAAAGTCATCCTGTAAGACTGTGATGCTTTATGCTCTGGGAATTCATTCCCAATACAGGAAATGAAGTTTAGTTTTCTTTTGTTGCAGATGTTTTGTTTAGCAAATATAAGCAAAGAAACTGTTACATTTGTGAACATAATTGAACAGGTTCTGTCAACTGAACGGGCATTCCTTTTTCTATATAATCACTCACCTTATGGCCTCTGTATGTCTCTAGAAACTGCTCATTGCATGAAGAAGAACACTTGTGGATATGACCCTCTTCTGTTCCAGCAAGATAAAGATCAGTGTCCTGAAAGAAAGGTAAGAGTAGTCTAAGTTGGATTAACCTATTTATCACTTATCCCAAAATCTACAAAGGACTGGTTGAGTTTGGCAGTGACAGTCCTTGGAAGAACTAAGGTGGTGTTGCCAGGGTGTTGTGTGTTGGGCTGCTTGCAGATGTGTGTGTGCAGTAGATGTAGCGGTGCTGTCACGTATCAGATGTGTTACGTGTGTTCTCCATCTGTGCAGAACGTACGCTGTGATTTTTGACTCCTGAAGAATCTCAGGCTTTCTGTGATCCACATGGGCAAACGCCTGAATTCTTCAGATGCTCTGAGGAGAACTCAGCTGGATGAAGAGGAGGAGCACAGCCATCTAAGTCCTACACTCGGGAGATGTTGAACAGTCAAATTCTCACTGATTTGACCAACGCACAGAGGAGAGCTACCCTGGGATGTGGCCCGAAGCAAACGTGAGTGACACGGCTGAAATGACACAGTTGTTCACCTACAGGGATTACTTGCTCGGTTTACTGTATCATCCATTTTGAGTAAAATTGTTATTATCTAAGAAACAATTTGTTTCAGAACTACATATGCTTGAAATACCAGTGGCAGGCTAGTGCATATTAAAGTATCACAGAACGTTGGGGATTGGAAGGGACCTCGAAAGATCATCCAGTCCAATCCCCCTGCCAGAGCAGGAACCTCAATGAGATCACACAGGAAGGTGTCCAGGCGGGTCTTGAATGTCTCCAGAGAAGGAGACTCCACACCCTTCCTGGGCAGCCTGTCCCAGGGCTCCGGCACCCTCACTGTAAAGAAGTTTCTTCTCAAGTTGAAGCAGAACCTCCTGTGTTCCAGCTCACACCCACTGCCCCTTGTCCTACCATTGGGCATCACTGAGAAGAGCCTGGCTCCATCCTCCTGACATTCGCCCTTTGCATATTTATAAACATTAATGAGGTCACCCCTCAGTCTCCTCTTCTCCAAGCTAAAGAGCCCCAGCTCCCTCAGCCTTTCCTCAGCAGGGAGATGCTCCACTCCCTTCATCATCTTGGTGGCTCTGTGCTGGACTCTCTCCAGCAGTTCCCTGTCCTTCCTGAACTGTGGGGCCCAGAACTGGACACAATATTCCAGATGTGGCCTCACCAGGGCAGAGTAGAGGGGGAGGAGAACCTCTCTTGACCTAAACCTCTCTTGACCTCCTCAGCTGATCCAGTTGAGGATCTCACCCCTGTACCCCATAGTCCTCCTTCATAGTACTTTAGCCAGGATGAACTTTCTGAGCCTACCTTTGGATGGAAGTCAAAGCACATTCCAGCTGCATGTTGCAATATCAGAGCTTCACTTCTCCTTTCTTTCTCACTTGGTAATTTTTTCTTCTCACTTTCTCTTTGCTTTATTTTCATCAGATCTGTGCAAATAGCAAAGAGCTTTTGTCAAACAGGTTATGTGACAGTGCTATAAATAGCTCCTGCTTCTTTGGAATGCTCAACAGCTCTTCAGTGTTTTGTGTATGATAACTGGTATAAAGAATGTCACCTGAAATCAAATGAAGCCATTGCCATTGCAGGGGAAAATTCTTACCAGTGCAATCTAGTCTTTTCTGTATAAACCACTCGGTTACTCGGCCGTCTGCTGAGATACAGATTAATCTCTCTTTTTTGCCATCTCCTGTTGGGCCTCTGTCCTGTTCCACCCACCTCACTTGCCATACAGGACCTGTATGTTTATTTGAAGATTCACTGGGACAAAAAATGCTCATGATAAATCATATATGAACAAAGACAAGACAATACATTTGAAAAATAATTTACCTTCCACTTTATAATGAACATCAAGTCGTATGACAGAAATGTTGTTTAGCTTTTCTTAAAAAAAAAATTAAAATTCAGATCTAAAAATTGGCTCTTTTCTCCAGGAAACTGCTTCTTTTATCAGACATGTTTGATGTTTAATTTCAGGGCACTGTTTAATGTGCTGACACGCCTTTCATTGATATTTGATCATTAAATCAATCTGCCCTTCGTAGGAGAGCGCCCAAGACCTGGAGAGTTGCCTGCAAGGCGTATGTTTCCCTGATCACCCCTTCTCTCTCATTTTCTTCTTAATTCCTGCTTGTCCCTCACCTGTTATGATATTCTCTCCATTTTTGGCATGTGGAATCAGAGAGCAAACACCAAAAGCTACCACTGATCTGCCATAGGGATTTATTATCTGGGGCAGGATCATAGAATCATAGAATAGATTGGGTTGGAAAAGACCTCCAAGATCATCAAGTCCAACCCCTGATCCAACTCCAATTACTATATCATGGCACTAAGGGCCACGTCCAATCTCTTTTTAAAAACCTCCAGGGATGGTGAATCCACCACCTCTCTGGGCAGGCCGTTCCAGTGCCTGATTACCCTTTCTGTAAAGAATTTCTTCCTAACATCTAACCTAAACCTCCCCTGGCAGAGCTTGAGCCCATGCCCCCTTGTCCTATTGTTGGTTGCCTGGGAGAAGAGACCAACCCCCACCTGGCTATAACCTCCCTTCAGGTAGTTGAAGAGAGTGATGAGGTCACCTCTAAGCCTTCTCTTCTTCAGACTAAACAACCCCAGCTCCCTCAGCCTCTCCTCACAGGACTTGTGCTCAAGTCCCTTCACCAGCCTAGGATTGTCCTAGTTAGTTAGTACATGGAATATAAAGTGATCTGTGGTGGTGACTTGCTGCATTCTCTTAAAAAGTCAGAGCACAGGACTCATTTGTTTCACCTTTCCAACATGGGGAATTTGCTTTGTACTCACAGCAAGAGCACAGAGTGTTTCATACCCCAGATAAGGACCAGTGGTGTTAACATAATATAAGCATTTATGGGCAGAGAGAAGAGTAGGGAATGATGGCAGTGTGTGAGGATTTGGCTGCATCAGTGTAAATAGTTGGATGGGAAAAGTCCAGTTGGCCCACTCTGGCCTTTACAGGCATTTATGCATTGCCATAAATTTTGATGTCTGGGATTTTGCTCCAGAAACTTCTAGTATTTGAGAGTATGGAGTGTTTGTCTAGGTATTTCCATTCAAAACTGGAGGATGATGACAAAAGTTGACAGGCTGAGAGAGTTGGGGCTGTTCAGCATGGAGAAGAGAAGGCTCCAGGGAGACCTTCTAGTGGCCTCCCAGTACCTGAAGGGGCTCCAGGAAAGCTGGGGAGGGACTTTTCATAAGGGCAGTTAATGACAAAACAAGGGGAAATGGGTTTAAGCTGAAAGAGGGGAGGTTTAGATGAGATATTAGGAAGAAGTTCTTCACTGTGAGGGTGGTGAGACACTGGAACAGGTTGCCCAAGGGAGTTGTGGCTGCTCCTCCCTGGAAGTGTTGAAGGCCAGGCTGGATGAGGCTTTGAGCAACCTGGTCTAGTGGAAGGTGTCCCTGCTGCTGGCAGGGGGGTTGGAACTGGATGAGCTTTAAGGTCCCTTCCAATCCAAACCAGTCTGGGATTCTATGAAAAGTTGGAAAAAAAAAAATTGTGCCACATCCCTGAGCATTCCCAAGACTTACTTAATCAAAAGTGTTACTATTCCCTCAGCTTCTCACTTGTGGCTATTCTTTTATTTCTCATTTGCTAAGATGTGACCAAGGTGGGAGGAGACAGGACATCAGAGCCTTACCTGCTGTCCAGAAGTGCAGTGTCCTTACAGCTCTGTACATTATAGATCGCGACAGACCCGTTGTACATTCCAACTGCTAAAAGATTTGGGCTTGCTGTAGAAAAATCCAGAGCAGTCACACCATGCTCGCTCCGGAAAACACGCTCTGGCCACTGACCAGTGGGGAAGTAATAAAAGAACATTTCAAGTTAGTCTCTTAATTTACCTCAGTCTTCTCGACACTGGATACTGAATTGTCAGGCTCTGCTGGAAAATTCAAGTGCTGATGACCATAGTGACTACTTCTAGAGAGAAATGAGGTGCAGTATTCAAAATAGTTCAGTTTCTTTCTTACTGCAACTGATAATATTAGGAAAAAATAAAGACCATGCAGAAATATGACACTCTAAAATAAATTAGATGGGCCTACTCCAGACCAAATACCTAAAAATCAAGTTCCCTGAGATTCAGCTATGTGAGTACAGTGTGTTTTTGTTTGTTTTGTTGGGGTTTTTTTATTTTTAAAACAAATTTGGCATTTTGGAAAATTTCTCCAGTTGTTTTCTATCTTGTAATATGAACTAAGTACCTTTCCAATTATAGAAACTTACCTGAAGGTAAAATGCAATCTAAGGTACTTCAGGTCATCTGTAAACTGCTATTTTCATGGAATTTCTCCATGTAACCAAAGAACTGATTCAGCTCTGTTATAAGATTAAAATAATTCTTATTTCTGAATGTTTGGGACTCAAGGACCATGGTGACATCAGGAGTAGTTGATTGTTGTTGACGTGATAAACACACATCAAAGACTTGACTCTGAATGATTTAACTTAGTCTAATAGACAGTTCTGGGCAAGTGAAGTTTGTAGCAGAAATCAAACTAAAGTTGTCTAATTTGGCAGCAATCAGGTGATTTTTACTGAGTCGCTTTGTAACTGAGATTTCCAAGACTTTGGGAAAAAAAAAGGCTAGTTAAAAAAGGATCACTTTTCAGATGGATATGTAAAGATTACATCTGTGCTACATATATGAAATCTGCTGTCTGTCTGACAGTGTTATGAGAAGTTAGATTAGATAATTAGACCTCATTATATACTTTTTATTATATATTTTAAATTTTTTTCCCCTTCAGTCTAACAGAATTTCATGGTACAACAGAAAGTGGTTTGGAAATGATAATCCTTAAATTTAAAATACAGCTGTTCTCTGTAATGAGAGTTTGGAAGGAGCGAACAAACAGTCTGTAGGTTTTGAAGAACAAAAGGCAAATGGATTTATTTTTGCATTTGCCGTGCTCAAGACTTTTTCCAGTCTAAAAAATAATTTCTCCACACCTGGGTCTACCCACAGTAATAACAAAACTGATTTAGAGTCTTGGGTAGGTGACCCTAGGGACTGGAAATGGGATCTGAGATCTGCATCGCTCAGTTGTGTAGCACAGACTGGTGCTACCCGCGAGTCATAACCATCTGTTAGTTGTTTGGTGGCCTGTGTGCAGTGAGTTTAGTTCCTGTGAACAGATGTCCGTGTTACCAAACCACCAGGACAGTCAGCACCTCTCTTGGAAGTGTCAGTTGAGAAGAGGGACAGGCACAGAAAATAAACTGCTTCCTACGGGCACTTTTTTCGGGGGGGTGAAGAGTTAAGCACATTGTTAAGATACTGCAGTTGGAATAAATTTTCTAGAAACGTGTGGTTTGGGCTAGGAAATTCAACCTTACTGGCTAGGTCTTGCTTTTTGAAACAGGAAGAGGCAAATAAATAAAGCAGAAATAGTATAACCAAAAAAAAAAATGCATTGAAGAAACAAACAAAAACCAAGAAAACAAACTGGCTGCTTGTTACCATGGGGTTCTTCAAGGACCAGCAGCAAGCCAAGCCTTTCTTCTGGTCTTTAAAATCAAACGCTCCATAACCAACAGCTAAAAGATCCTGAAAGCACAAATTAACAGATAGATCTCAGTTTCACTTGAACTTCAGTAGTAAAAGGCAATTTTCTGTTAACAGAGACTCTCAGTGCAAAGTCTGGAATAATAACTCTCATGTGATATGAGTGTAGACTAGATGTGAGGAAGAAATTCTTTGGTGTGAGGGTGGTGAGACAGTGTCCCAGGTTGGCCAGAGAAGCTGTGGCTGCTCCTCCCTGGAAGTGTTCTCGGCCAGGTTGGATGAGGCTTTGAGCAACCTGGTCTAGTGGAAGGTGTCCCTGCTGCTGGCAGGGGGGTTGGGACTGGATGAGCTTTGAGGTCCCTTCCGACCCAAACCAGTCTGGGATTCTATATACAAGTAGAACAACACACAAGAAGAACAGAATTTCTAGAACACTGGAAACTGTTTCAACTAGAAGTATATTAATTGTCACTATCAGTTGTGTTTGCAATCTCCCCTCCCTGGCCATCATAAAAATAGGTCCCTTTCCAGAGATGAATATACAGTATTCCATTAAAATCTGGTTATAGAATAAGTAATAATACTTCTAATTTTCTCTCTCAACATTAGCTGTAAAAGGAGCTTCAGTGACCACCTCAGATTCCTAGCTTTTAGCTCTCTACAGTGGGGTCTGATGAATTCTGTTCATTCCTTTTCCATAAGCAGAAGAAAGAGCAGAAAAATTGCAGTCTTCAACTCCATTATTTTTTTTTCCTACACACAACAACTAGTTTGTGCAACTTAACACTTTAAAAATAGGTATTTCTTTGCTCTGTAATTCTAAGACTGAAGTCTATAAATGTGTCCAACTTTAGAATATCTGGGGATCTGCTGTACTAACATTCTGAAATGGGCTTTATTTTCTCTCTTTTTTTACACTGGGGCAATCTTACTGGTTTTATGTTTCTAATCCTCACCTGCTTTTTACCTTCCTTCCATTCAGTATTTTTCTTGTGGCCATAAGAGAGCTCTGTTGGAAAAACTGAGCCTTACATTACTCTCAAAGTGGAGATGTCTGAGTCATTCTCACCTCCACTGAAATGGAATTAAATAAACCTGGGCCAGCAGCTTAGAAATCTGTGCTTGTTATTATGATTCTTACCCTTCAAGTTTGATGAATGCCACTTTCTTGGGAGATTATTGTTAGAAACAACGATGTGCTATTGAAACTATCATGAATAAACTCTGTCAGTGGTGACAGAGTTTAGGAGTAAGGGGTTCAATCAACTTTCAGTTCTATAACAGACCAAATTTATAATCTTAACATGGTTGTTCAGGTGACCATCCATGCTAAACTGACTTATTCTGGACTAGTTAAAGCTGTTGGGAGATCTTTGTAGGAAAAGCTTAGTGCAGGTGTCCAACCCGTTGAATAACGTAGCAACGTTGATATGTGGAAGGACAAAATAGAGAGAGTGGGATGCAAAGACAACCAACCTACCTGACTGCAGGGCTGAATCCATCTCTGAGCTCCCTCCCAACAAAGTATATCAAAATCAGGAGTTTATTTACACCAACAATTGCTCATCCCATTTATAAACAGCTTAGAAGAAGGGATTTGTTAACTCACTGGGTTGACTTTGCTCCAAGCCATGCTGCTCACACTGTGACCCTGAGTCAAATCACACACATATGACCACAGCTGTTCCGGTCTGGGAGGTACAATTTCTTCTGGGGTTTTATTTAGACCTGACAGAATTGATGGGTCAATTAATGCTCCCGTCAGCTCTTCCTTATCCTTCTTTTCCTTGTCATGCTCTTCCTGTTGAGCTGCTTTCAGGGCTGCTGCTGTACCACTAGTGTCTGTTGTAACATTGAGATCTGAAATGCACAAATATGGTAGAGTCTGAGTAGTAACATTTCACTTATCTAACTCCAGTCATTCACATCAGAAGAAAAATCTACCTCTTCAGCAAATACTTTGCAGCAAAAAAGATCAAGATTTGAGGAATAAAGACATCCTGTCTTCTAAAATGGTGGCTAAAATGTTGATAGGACATAGAAGATGGCTGGATGTAGTGTGCTAGTTATGCTCCAGGTGTTTAATGAGTAGATTTAACTACCCAGCAACAAGTTACAAATATATGTCTGTGCCCAACCAGGAATGTTCCTAATCTCTTCTATTTAAAAATTTATTTAAACAGGGATTTTTTTCAAGTTAGATGCCAAGTTTTAAAGAGCCACACTGAAGCCACCCATTGATGCTGTGATATTGTAGTTAAATTACATGATGCTGTAATAAGTTGCTCATTATTTGGGAAAATTAAGTGTAGAGCATATTTTTAGACTGTGTTTGCCAAGTATTTTTTTGTTTACTCATCCCTTCATTTTCTGCAATGTGCAAATTGTAAATTGATCTCAGATCACTGTCAACAAAATAAGAACACAATATCTATGTTGCCCAAGGTTGCCCAAGGAAGTTGTGGATGCCCCCTCCCTGGAAGTGTTGAAGGCCAGGCTGGATGAGGCTTTGAGCAACCTGGTCTAGTGGAAGGTGTCCCTGCTGCTGGCAGGGGGGTTGGGACTGGATGAGCTTTAAGGTCCCTTCCAATCCAAACCATTCTATGATTCTATTATATTGTCAGAGGAAAAAGTCCTCCTGGCCAGTATCATGCAGAAAATAACAGGTTCATTGCCTGAGAAACTGAATCTGCCTTTTTTTTTTTTTAATCCCTGTGTTAACTGAGAACTCCTGTGAAAGGTAAAATATTAGTCAGCACTCAGGTCCAGGTAATGCCTCTTACAGTCTGCAGTGAAAGTGCTTTACGTTAGACACTGAACATCTATCAGGCTAAAACTTCTGTTTGCCATCAGTCTCCTTATAAAATAAAAAAACAAAAACTGTAAAAGACATTCCAATGAAAAAAATGGTTGGAGAAGTAGCAGAATTAATCTGTATCTGAACTATCAGGAAACAAGTTTGACTAATACTTGGAGTAAGTCTCAGTTTGTGGTGCTAAAGGGAGATGAGCCAGCTCAGAACTCATTTATTCAATTCTTCCACCAAGTAGGGTAGGGATGGCTGTTAAAGTGAGTGTAAAACTGCAAAGGTCATGCTGACATCTCGTAAACTCTCCTTTCCTTTGTCTATTTCTTAAATGACTTGTCATCTGTAAAGGCATTCAGTGAGGGACATAACTCCATGGCTTTCAATAGCATGCAAAGCCTTGTGCTGACAACAGAAACAAACCTATAAGGACGGGAAATTGCCGATAAGCTGCAAGTTTGGGTTGAAAAATATTCTCCATTAGAATCCTCTCCATGAAAAATAAATCCTGCTGAAATTTTTCTGATGTTAGTATAGCTTCTGAATGGCATTCCTCCTCTTTGTGGATTCTGTCAAGAGCAGTGCTTTCTGAAATCATTGTAGAAGTTGTGCTACCTGACAACAGATAATATGGGAAAAATCAGTTTTAACATGGTCATACTTTACAGGTAGAAGTCAAGGGGATAGGAAATCTCCTCCTTTTCCACCTGAAAAAACACAGAAGAATCTATCATCATCAAAAAATACTTCCACTATTATTTTTTTCTTGCTTTAACTTTGTTTTCTTTTATTGCTCACATACTCCATACGATGGGATACTTCTGGAATTTTTCACAAATAGCGTTTTGCTTTCACTGTCCTCAGTAATTTAGTACCAGCAAACTCTGTCACTGACTATTTATCTTTATTTAAGATCATTTATGATGGCATTGTACAGAAAAGGTCTCAGTGCAGACCTGTCCAAGATTCTTTAGCAAACTCTTTCAAGTGCCAGACAGGCAGATTTCACATTTTCTGCATGTAGTTTTCACCACACAACATAGAACATGGCTTAGAAGGATGAAAAAAGGGCAGAAATGTAAACCTGGACAAAGGTTACCTCTGTCAGAAGACATGGGCATAGTCTGATCGTGCTCTTTAGTTGTATGAGATTTGCTGCAGTTCCCAGTTGTGGTTCTGCTACCTCCTGCTTTTGGGGTAGATTCTGTTTCTGATCCATTAAATGGATTGTTCAAGTGCCAGGAAGTGACAATCATCCCTAGAAACGAGTGACACTGCATTATACACGGCTCCTGTCTCGCTGCATTACGAAGGACTACGTACAGCTGAGCAAAGATTCACTTTTTGTACTGTACTCCCAACTGTTTGGCAGAGGAGCTTTGAAACCAGCTGAGGGTCAGACAAGGCTGTAGCAGCAGCTGGTGTGTGATCGCAGCCACTGCATCAGGGTCTTCTGGGTGTGTTGCCTTCCCTTCAGCAGGGCCATCTCCCAGTGAAACCTTGCCTTTGCATGCTCAGCTTTTCAAACGCGGCTTGGGATCAGCCCTGCTGATGCTCAAGGCACACAAAAAAGGAGAAGAGATGTGTTCAAGTCAGATTAATCATAGAATCATGGAATGGTTTGGATTGGAAGGGACCTTAAAGCTCATCCAGTTCCAACCCCCCTGCCAGCAGCAGGGACACCTTCCAGTAGACCAGGTTGCTCAAAGCCTCATCCAACCTGGCCTTCAACACTTCCAGGGAGGGGGCATCTACAACTTCCTTGGGCAACCTGTTCCAGTGTCTGACCACCCTCACAGTGAAGAACTTCTTCCTAATATCTCATCTAAACCTCCCCTCTTTCAGTTTAAACCCATTTCCCCTTGTTTTGTCATTAACTGCCCTTATGAAAAGTCCTTCCCCAGCTTTCTTGTAGCCCCTTCAGGTACTGGGAGGCCGCTAGAAGGTCTCCCCGGAGCCTTCTCTTCTCCAGGCTGAACAGCCCCAACTCTCTCAGCCTTAATATCTGGTTTACATCTCTTTTTTTTTTTCCACACTCATTTTACATACACTAATGAACACAAAGGAGAAATGTTTGGAACAGCATTCCCTGTAGTTTTCTTTGGTCTCCTAACCAAAAAAAAGTCCATAGTGAGGCAAAGCTCAGTGTGCATATCTAAACCCTAGATATTCCTCTAGAATTTTTTTAGAGCATTGGTCTTGAACATTTTGTAAAATTGCATCTATCTGTCTTGTGAGACTGCCAAGACCTTCTGCTTTCACCAAGACTTTAAATCTCTTAACAGAGGTTCTCTTCTTTGCATTATGGCAAATGGAAATAGAAGCCAACATCACTGAAAAGTTAAAAGGAAAAAAAGGGAACCATGTCCTTTCATATTTCAAGAGCACAGTTGAGTGTTAAGTGAAGTTCTGCCTCCTAAGAAGGAGTCTCTGCTTGCAAAGTGGGAGCCTTCTCTTCTCCGAGCAGCTCTCAGCAGGACAGAGCAGCTCTCAGCCAATGTAATGACCATTTTCTTGCAATGGATAGAGTGTGCCAGCACCAATGATCGGGTATTGGGAGTGGCAGAAAAGCCCACCACAAATCACACTGGTCTGTCTGAACTTAAAGCTCTGGTAGTGAAAGTTGAGGAAATATCTTCTCCTGCTTAGAGAGGGAAGAAAGAAAAAAAACCTCATTTTCTCAGAGTCCTACCTGCGTGTGGGGAGTCAGTTGTGAGGTCCCATGATCTCGCTGTATGCTGGTTTTCCCAAGTAAATATTTCATAATAAACTAAATGTAATAATAAACCCAACTGCCAAGGGTACAATTTAGTAAATGAAAGCCTGTTCTTACCAAATACCCTTTCTTAAACTCTGAGAGTAGTTTACCTTTATCTTCCATGATGATTTTGTCACATTGCACCTCCTTGTTCTTTGCAGCTCCGTTAATGGTTTGCATCGTTTTCTCTACAAAGCGATCATTACCAGCTCTATTTTTGCAAATGTCAGCATAAATCTTATTCCTCTCCCTTGGGGGGGGAAAAAAAGTATTTTGACTTTCAGAAAAAACATTTGCCTTCAGATTCTCAGTGTATTTAACCACAAGTTGAACAGGTGAGAATACTCCATGTCATAAATTTAGTGCTCAGGGTTTTTTTTTTGATTGCTAGAGTGAAATAAACTCTACGTATTGTCTTTCAGCAGCTGTTTCTGACCTTGTGATGCTGTTCTAAAACAGCACCTAGAGGTAGTCATCAGCAAATTCACTACTCCAACTGCTTTTGCACTTTGGTGCAATTCAAAGGAATTCAGAAAGATGTAACTCTCATCAGTTGGCAGTGAAAGGCAACGCATCCAAGAGACAAAAATGAAACTAGTATGTTTCTGTTTCACCCAGCCCTCGGGTTCTGTAGGATGGTCAGTGGGAACCATGAAACTTTTTCTGTTGTTTTGGTTTCAATATTCTGGTTTTGGTTTCAATATTCTAACAGCAGATGTAGATTATACCCAGCCTTGGTCCACCAACAGGTTGCTGTGCTCAGGAAGAGTCTGTTCCTATACATTTGGCACTATATGCTCAGTACACCAGCTAGGTTTGATTCAGAGGATGCTCTTCCTCCTCCTTCCCAAAAAAATCACACCAGTGTGATTCACAGACATGGGGAGGTTGGAGTCCTACCATGAACTTTGTGTGTACTAGCAGAAAAAACTCACTTAGGTACATGGTTTGACTTGCTAATTGCAGCATGCTGCATCTCAGGCTTTGGGACTTAGGTCTACAAAAGCTGTGTGACAGATCTCTCAGTCTGACATCTGTCCTGGAGAGAACTTTGCTGCACTCTGTCCCAGTCAGCTCCTGGGAGGAAGCCAAGAAACGATGTGTTCTACGTTAACTCCCTACCAAAGTTCATGGTACTCCAGGGAGGAGACTCTGAAGTGGAAACACACTAGATGCAACTCAGGGAAGACACAGTTATTTTAAGAGGCAAGGTCACATGCAGTGGGGTGAGGTTCCTTCTAGCTAGAAGCACTGTGAAGAGCTTCAGAGGACACCAAGGCCTGCCTAGTTTGTTTCTATCTTTGTTATTAAGAAATGATTAGCTGTAAAGGTTTTGTGTAAAAATAACACACGAGGATCAATGCAGAGGTTTGCAGTTTCTTACTGCTTTCAGTAAAGTTAAATGGTGTCATTCATGTCCACCACACTTCCCCATCTTCTCTTTCCCCCATCCCCTGTGTGTTCTCTTGTTGCCATCCCCTGCTTTGGCTAATCTGCCTTCATTTATCAGTGAAAGAGGTTATGAATTGGATCAACAAGGTGGAGTAGTAAGGAATTTAAGCTGTCTTGTCAAAAGAGAGACTCAAGCTTGATCTGGCTTTAAACAGAAGTGAAATGACCAATTCAGAACACTGAACCTATGTGTAAGCAGCCTGGTCAGGACTTTGTGATCAGCAGAAACTGGGTGTGCTGAGCACACAACGTGCATGAACACAACTACCCGTATACATACAGAACTCTTCCAGCATCTTCTGACTCGACAGACACCGCAACAGATGGCATGTCCAATATCCTGATAGTTTCTGTCTCTGTGAGGTAAATATCCACTGTCCTATCCAAGTCTTCTTCTGTCAGTTCTTCTGTCTCCTCTTGCCTCACCTGCACATCTGAAAAATTACATGAAGTTAACAACACGAGACCTTTTCTGCTCTAGAGTTAAAAGAAGACAAATTAATTCTAAAAGTATTGTAATGATCAGGAGCCAAAACTTGTGAGGCACCAAGTTCCTTGCCCCCACTGACTGCAGTGTCTCACAAATCACAGTGCTCCAAAGAAGAGTTTAAAGAGTTTAGGTTGCCCAAGGAAGCTGTGGCTGCTCCTCCCTGGAAGTGTTTGTGGCCAGGCTGGATGAGGCTTTGAGCAACCTGGTCTAGTGGAAGGTGTCCCTGCTGCTGGCAGGGGGGTTGGGACTGGATGAGCTTTAAGGTCCCTTCCAACCCAAACCAGTCTAGGATTCTATGAAGTCTATAATTATACAGTGTATGTTCTTTACCAGATATGCCAACAGTTGTGTCTCGTCGAGAGCCGGGTTCTGCCGTTTCATGTAGTACGGTCTCAGATGTTGATGTGCTTGATAGAGAAGTAAGGCTGCTTCCATAGGTCCTTCAGTAACAGAGAAATGAAGTAGAAATAGTAGGTGAGAGTCCAGATGTCAGTTAGCAAAGCACTAACAAAAATAGCCGTGTGGTTATCGGGATAAACCACAGGAGACTCCAGTAGCACAGACAGGGACGCGTGCATTGTAGAAGAAGTCAGTTGTAAGGGCAGCTAATGACAAAACAAGGGGAAATGGCTCTAAACTGGAAGAGGGGAGGTTTAGATTAGATATTAGGAAGAAGTTCTTCACTGTGAGGGTGGTCAGACACTGGAACAGGTTGCCCAAGGAAGCTGTGGCTGCTCCTCACTGGAAGTGTTCTCGGCCAGGTTGGATGAGGCTTTGAGGAACCTGGTCTAGTGGAAGGTGTCCCTGCTGCTGGCAGGGGGGTTGGGACTGGATGAGCTTTAAGGTCCCTTCCCACCCAAACCAGTCTATGATTCTATAAGTCATAGAAGGCTTAGGAAAGAAAATAATGACATGGTTTGAAAAAGACTGAAAAAGGAAGAATTCCTCTGGCAGCTTATCCCGAGGCATTAAATAGCTGATGGAAAAGCAGCTGTTGAGCTCTCAGATTCATTCTTAGCGTATCATAATGTGAAGTGTTGGCTACCTACGGCGTGATAACACATACACAGTGCTGATAGCACTGTTCTCAACCAGAATTTAGATCCTCTGGTGCTTTGCATGTGCTGAAATGGCTTTGAAATGCACAAGAAACTCATTTGAAGGGATTAGCTTGTTAAAAAAAAACAGGTAATGTTGATAGAGGGGATAGCTGTGATAACTAGAAGTAAAACTCCAAACTTAGATACTCTTGGGAGGTTCGTGAGCAAATTTTCTCTTTCTCAAAAGCTAAGTGTGAGCAATTATAAATCATAGAATCATAGAATCATGGAATGGTTTGGGTTGGGAGGGACCTTAAAGCTCATCCAGTCCCAACCCCCCTGCCAGCAGCAGGGACACCTTCCACTAGACCAGGTTGCTCAAAGCCTCATCCAGCCTGGCCAAGAACACTTCCAGGGAGGAGCAGCCACAGCTTCTCTGGCCAACCTGGGACAGAGTCTCATCACCCTCACACCAAAGAATTTCTTCCTCACATCTCATCTAATCTAATCTAATATCTAACCTCCCCTCTTTCAGCTTAAACCCATTTCCCCTTGTTTTGTCATTAACTGCCCTTATGAAAAGTCCCTCCCCAGTGAAAAGTCCTTCCCCAGAAGGCGTACAAATCATACAAAAGGCATTTGAAAAAGACAATTTTTAAGATTTGTATTTAAAACTTAAGTGAAATAATTTCATTTTGTCTTTTAAATGAAGAGCTCTCGCCTCCAAAAAGGATGTGTTGATTTTTTCAGGAGATGATAGCTTGTATTTTTAAGTAAATTTTTGGTGTATATTTGCTCCTGGTTAATATCCCTCCCTCTGGGGATTATCCTTTATAAGAGCAAGCCCAGGAAAAATAACAAAAAGATAGTTCTCAAAGAGCAATCTCTTCGTCTCAGAAATCACAATGGCATTAACTTTGCAAAGAAAACAGTCAGTAATGCTTTTCTTTAACTTACTTTTCTTTTTTCCAGTGCTGAATGCAATAGTCTTTCATTCTCTTTGAATAAATAAATAGCATCTCCTCTCCATACAGCAGGGAAGTGTACACACCACTGGATAAAGTGCTGTGGTTCATTATTTTTCATTTTAAACACAAATAGTTATTTACCTTCTCTCACATGATTAAATTGAATTTGTCAGCCTGAAGATACAACAGTTCAAGTCCATTGACTGTGTTTATTCCCTCTGTACTGACAGTTTGTAAATGAAAGCTCGTGAGTAGTGAAACATGGAATTTAGCAGTTTTAACTCAAAAATCTTTGTAGAGGAGCAGTTTTTGAAATGGATGCTCATAATCACACAGAGGCAAGTTGTTTAAATTAGTTTAAAAGAGAGGATTCTCATTATGTTAAGGATATTTTGATATTTGAACTGAAGTAGTTGTGTTTGTAAAAAGGGCTGGCTGTACTGAAGAAATACCATTAAAACTGAGAAAATACTTTAAAATAAATGTTTAACTCTTCAGTGAAACCAGACCTTTTGTTTCCAAAGCATTTTTCCATACCCACAGCTATGCAGGTACTGATATATTCCAAGTTTTGAAAAAATACACTTGGGGAAGGCAGAGAGCATCTGAAGTAGCTGAAGGGAGTGAATTAACGAGCTCAGACAACCAGAACACAACCTCCTCCACCTTTAACATCGTGTTTGGTCACGTACCTGTGTACAGGTGCTGTCATAACTTTGTAGGCAGGCCTGACCATTACACAACCTGCAGTTGGGGTGTCTGCATTTTTGAGCTGTGAGGTGCTCATCACCATCTCTAAATATGGTCCATTCGGGGATGTTCCATAAGAAAATGTGGTTTAGGGAGGAGAATTTGAGTAAAATTAGGAATATCACAGCTGTGTGTGCTGCAGTCTGCTCTCACCTGCATGGATTAGCATTTCAGCAGTGGCTCTGACAGAGTCAGTGTCCTGGTTTGGCTAGGATAGAGTTAATTTTCTTCTCAGTAGTTAGAATAACTGTGTTTTGGTTTCAGTGTAAGACTTGTTACGAGAAGAACACTGATAAAAGTCCTGATGTTATGAGTTGCTGCTGGAGCTCAAGGCCATTGTGTTTGGCTGGTTCACAGCTGCATCAGGACTGGGAGGGAGAAGTGGAGTGAACAGCAAACCCCAAACTGGCATCTGGATGTGACAGTGAGATATTCCAGATCAGATCATGTCATGGTCAGTATATTATCTGGGCCTGACCGGAAAGGGGGGGATTCCCTCTGGCTTTGGCTCGGGCTCTGGCTCTCCCGGGATTGTGGTTTCGGGTCGGGATTGTGGCTCCTCCAGGATCGTGATCTGGGAACGGGCCGGGCTTGGTCAGTGGGTGGTGAGCAATGGC